AAAATATCACTCGACAATATGACATTACATTTATTGGTGTTAACTTGTATCTTAACATGTTTCATGCAAACAATTTATTTGATTTAGTAAATTTAATCATTTAAAGGACTGTTTTTAGACACTTCAAATGTGATGAATCGTTTTATGGGATTAAGATAGCATTTCAACTTTATATGAGAAGTTATGGATTCAATCTCGTATGTATCTCAACTTGTTAGCACTTCTCTCTTTAATTAAAAAAAAAGAAAAAAGACACATGGAATTGAAGGAGAAGAGTAACAAATAAGGTTTACCATAAACTGAAACAGCCTTATAGCCCAAAAGAAGGCAATGGTATGGCTTTTAATGAAGATATATTGACAGTGACATATAATTGCTTATATACATATATCTATATGACTTTTATGTTCTGCTCCTGAACAATAAGCTTTACAACAAACTACTTAGTATAGCTTTTCATGAAGATATACTGACATACATTTTGCTTTATCTAAAGCCTAACATCCCCTTCTCATGTACAATGCACCACATAAGCATCCTTTTGCACCACCAACAACATCATTCAATAAAAGAGTATATCTCTTGAGTTTCTGGATGCAGCCTCCCTCCAGCTAAGAACTCATGAGTTTCTCCATTCACTTCAATCAAGCTGCATCCTGGTTCTTTCTCTGTCAAACTTCCCTTCATCAAAAGCCTTTCCTCCACTGCTTCTTCGAATTGGCTCGATGCGGCATGAACATTTGAAAGAAGCACATAACCACCTGAGTCACTTGGATTTAAGGCAAGAACTTGTTTTGCAGCCCTCTCTGCTATCTCAAGATTCCCATGCTTCCTACAAGATGAGAGCAGAGACCCCCAAATAATAGCATCTGCCTTTATTGGCATAACCTTTATTAATTCTTCTGCCTCTTCTAGTAGTCCAGCTTGGCCTAGAACTTCAACCATGCAAGTATAGTGTTTTAATGATGGTTTGATCTCATATTTATCCATCATTAGAGTAAAATAGTCCCTAGCTTGATCAACTTCGCCTAGATGTTTACAGGCTGTTAGAACACCAATGAAACTTACATAATCTGGTTTTAGACTTGAAGAAGATTCAAGCTCAGAGAAGAACTCAATTGCTTCTCTTTCAAGACCATTCATGGCTAGCCCTATAATAATGGAGTTCCAACATGATAATCCTTTCCTAGGGCACTCCTCAAACACTTGTAGAGCATCTTGAATAGCTCCACACTTGCAGTACATGTCAATTATTGCTGTGACCACAATGACGTTAAGCTCAAACCCATTCGTTCTTACATAATCATGAATCCATTTCCCTTGTTGAAGTGATCCCATATGAGCACAAGCATTCAGTAAGCTTACCATTGTAAACTCACTAGGCTCAATCCCTTCTTTCTGCATCCTGTGAAAAAGCTCTAATGCCTCCATCAGTTTCCCGTTCCTTACATACCCACTAATCATAGAATTCCATGTAAAGGAAGTTCTCGTAAGCATTTTATCAAACAGGTTCTTGGCCTCTTCAATTTCCCTACATTTAGCAAGGCCCATGATCATTGAGTTCCAAGCTACAACATCAAATTCCAAGAGACCATCAAACACTCTCCTTGCTTCACTCAAGAGCCCACTATTCGCATACATATGTATCAGAGAATTACGGATAAACCCATCATGTTCAAGACCCAATTTCAAAACTCTCCCATGAAGCTGAGCTCCTTCATGGCCGAGACCCATTTGAGCATAAGCCTTAAAAACCGAAGGGTAAGTCAATCTTTCAGGTTGAGTATCTGAGTACAACATTTCAACGAAAAGTGAGATTGCGTCTTGCGGGGTTGAGCTACGAGAGAAGCATCTAATGATAGTATTCCAAGAATAGAGATTTGGGTTGGGAATTCGAGTGAAAAGCAAGTAGGCATAGTTGGTATCCCCAGAAGGAGAGGCGCAAAAGGTCAAAACGCGGCTAGCGGCAATGGGGTCGTCGATTAAGCCAGTTTTGATGATGTGAGCATGAATCTTTTTGAGGTCTTTCATGGCGAAGCATTGCTTTTCAAGCATGGTGAGGCATGGGTGGTCTGAGATGAAATTGGATATGGAGGGTGATGAAGATAATGATGATGGTGCAGGGGAGTGTGCGAAGCAGAGTGTTGCCATCTTCTTTTCTTCCAGTGGTCCTCGTGTTCTTCTGCAGAGTCCACTTTTTTATAGCTTTATCTTCTTTGGTGGGGAAGATAAATAATGGCTCCGGAATTGGTCAGCCGGTATGACTTTTTGGTTAAATTTTATTTCATTTTTTATATGTTTAATATAAATTGTTACTATTTCCTTTCAAATAAAAATATTTAAATTTTATAAAAATAAAAATTGATAACATGTTCTCTTTATTTATTTAAACAATAAAATTAGACTTTTCATCACATAATTAAATGAAATGAAATATAGAAAAGAAAAATGCGTGTAACATTTTTTATAAGAAAATCATCTTGCGTCTACCTATAATTTTTCTCAATTTTTAATTTAATACTTGTGTATTGTTCTCTTCTAATTAAATACTATAATTGTGCTTTATTAGTATAATTAGTTTTTGTATAAGGGCTAATGATATTAACAAAGCAAAGTTACATAAGTTAACAGTACTAACATAGCAAAATTGAAATATTTAATTAAGAGGAAAAAACGTATAGGTGCCAAATTAAAAAGTGAGAAAAACAATAGCTACCTACAAAATGATTTTTCTTTTTTCGTATTTCGTTTTTTATTTACCGAGGGGCAATTGTTTTGTAATAAAAAAAAATTTTGAGCTAACTTTCAAAGATAAGCAAATACGCAAATATTTTTCAAATGAAAAGGCAGGATTTTGAGAATGATAGAAGGTTTATTATTGACAATAAAGGAACAAATAGGACATGGGATCCGGTGACATGACTCTAATTTAATGGTACAAAAGTTAAGAAGTGGCTTTAATAAGAAAATACAAAGGGGGGGCTACACTACTACTATATGTGTATATATTATTTTCTAGGTTTGGTATTTTTCAAATGCAACTTGGTCTAAAAGGGCAGCTAATGATAACTTTGACTTTGTGAGGATGAACTTTCACTAACTGTAAATAATTTGCTTTATAACCAAAATAGTATTATTATTACTATTCATATGGTCTGTGATATATGGTCCACCCACATGAGCAACTATAATTCCTTCTAATTATAATGATATTGAAAAGCTAAACATATAACTAGCTTCTATTTCCTTTTCACTCTTTCTTGTCAATAATTTTGGTTAATTTATTCAATGTTTATTTTCAATGGACCTTAATTCAATTTTTTTTTATATTTTAAAGATTTATAATGAAAAATTTGTAATTTAAATAATTCTATATTTTGTCTGTACCATTATATTTTCATCCATGTGGATTAATTTCATTTCATTGTTAATTTTGTTTTTATATTGATATCAATCATAAATAATTAGAATTTCGGAATAATAGATGGTTAATTGCATTAATAAATTGTAAACAAATTTCAACAAACTACTTAGAATTATTAGGAAAATATTTCTTTTTTAGTTAGGTGCATTTTTTTCAACAAACTAGACATGAATAGAAGAATGGATATTAAGAGACTTATTACTATTATTACTACTAGCACTATTATTATTATTATTATTATTATTATTATTATTTATGTATCTTGTTGGGAGACAAATTGTGGAAAATGGTCCCTCCCTTTACAATAGACAAAGGAGTCAGAAAAAGTAATGAATTTTTGAAAAAGATATATAATAGTCCCCCTTCCATTCAGTACTCAACACTTTTTTCTTCTGTACATAAAATACCTTTACAGTAAAATTACAGCACAGCCATAAAATCAGACCTGAATTTTTATTAATTTAATTTTGAATAATAGAAACTACAATGAAACAAAACAAAGAAACTATTACTAATTCCTTAAATGATGCAGGTCCATGACATTGACCTTGAACCAATTATTAATTTGCATTGCATGGAATATTAACCACTTACAATGACATGACTATGATAAATATAAAAAGCCAACAATAGGAAGCCTTAAATTTGGAATTTAAATAAATTATCACAAATTTTTTCATAATTTTGATTCAAACGCAATATATATTACATCTGTTTACCATTAATATATTTTACGTATTTGAAAACAATAATATAAGAAGAATTCTTACGTAAATTATGTTTTATTTTTATTCTGATCATGTTTTCCCCCAAAATATAATGCAGATTTTCAACTTGTGTGAACTAAACTTTAGTTATGCTCATTACTTTAACATTTAAATATAATTAAAACACGAAGAAAATATTAAAGATATTAAAATAAAAAAACAAATTTCATGCATGAAATATTAAAAAAAAAATACATATAATTCATGACTTATAAATGCATGCATGATGCATACATACATATATACATAGCTTTTACATTTTATATCATTGTTATATTAATATAAAACTTATAAGTCATATTATTGATAAATTATGCAGCATGGATATATGGAATCCTAGAATGTTACACACATCATTTGATAAGGAGTCTAAGGAGGGCAGCATCTGAGTTAATCAAAAAATAATTGGAACCTCTTGGAGTTTCAGGTTCAACAAAAAACTTTATATATATATATATGTATGCATGTATATATTGAGAATTCATATTAGTATTAATTAATAATCTAGATATTAAAAAAAAAAGAGGATTAAAGAGATAAGAAAACAGTGGAAAAGGAAGGCAGGGGGTGATTGATTACGGTCATCACGAGGCAGTCCCCCTTTTCTCCTTTCCTTCCGACTTTCTTCCACCCCCCCCCCCCTCCTTTTTCCGCCTTCCCCACACACACCCCCACATAACTCTCTTCATATATATATATATATAGAGAGAGAGAGAGAGAGAGGGACACACACACACTCGCTCACTCACTCTTACACTCCTCTGTGTTGCTTTCCCTTTTGTTTGTTTCATTCACAGTCTCCAGAAACCATACTGAACAAGAAGCTAAGCAAGCCTTCAAGATTATTGAAGATGGCAAACAGAAACTTTTTCTGTGTACTTCTTCTCCTTCTCACTCAATTCCTCTCTTCTGGTAATTCTCTTCCTCTCTTCACAATCTTATTTGGATATGCCTCTCAAGCTGCTAATTCACACACATATAACATGTTCATTCTGATTCTGATTCCCCTGTTTCCTTCTTAGTTATATCTTCTTCTCTGTTTTCTGCATATAGTCCCTTTACTAAGAAGAACATGCTCTGAATTCTCAACCCACATAATGCACTTCCTGTTTTGTAATTAGGCCATGTAAATCCACCCGAATCTGATCAAACCATTTAAGTGAAGAAAAGTGAAAGATATAGGCCATAAATAGTGTAAGACTTGCAGATAGAAGGGAATTCAGTGTCTCTCCTTCTCTTCGGTTCAACTAAAATCATATTTCAGAGATTTTAAATGGCAGTTTTTTGCTCTCTCTTTTTTTGGTCTGATTTTGAGGGGAAGTTCATGTTAGCCCAAAATGGCTACAATTCTCTTTTCTCAAATTGATTTGTCCGTATTTGATTCTCTGTTTTGGAACATAGTTCACTGTTTGGGATTTTTGTTTCCTCCTCTTTCCATGGAAATTTAAATAGATAATAGTTGGCATGTTTCAAACTGTTGTCTCTGTGTAATTTTCTTTCATTATTATATTTTGCTTTTTCATCGAGTCCTTCAATCAATAATTATGACGCTAATTAAAAATCTTAATGCCTTTTGCTTTCACATTGAGCATATATATGCTACAACCCATCTTTGATTAAGGCAAATCTTGGGTTTAATTACACTTTTGCTCATTCTAATCCACTCAAAAAGAGGCGAAAAAGAATATTGTATTCCTTGCATGCTCAACACAAGGCAATATTTTATTCCCGCTAGTGACTTTTTGTCCCTGAAATTATTTCAAAGAAATGTTATGAATTCTTGATTTTCATTATAGATCTTTCACTTCAACCCAAGAGTATATTTTTAATGCACTCAGGAGAAATAGTTAGAAAATAAATAATGGGCATAAACATAGGTGTGAGCCACATGCGTAGCACATTCTTCTATGTTACCTTCTTGAAGGCATAAATGTAAACAGTGCAAAATTTGTTTGAGAAAAGATAGGTTGAAATTTTGATATGACTCTGTTTCTGAAATGAGCATTGAAAAGACAGAGCAAAACAATCCAAGTGCTTTAATTACAGTTGGAATGAAAACTACAGGATCAAGTAAGAGGACATTAATGAAGGAATCGCATGTCATCTCCACAACACAAAAAGACATCACCACCCCAATAACCACAGTCCCAAACTTAGTGCCCATAATCTCATCACCATCTTCTTCTTCCCCATCTCCAATTCTAAACCCTAATTCCAGTCCAGACACAGTTTCCCCAGCTTCAACACTCCCATACACCACCACCATTAATACTCCAACCACACCCAACAGCACTAATTCCTCTGTTTCACCTTCTTCATCATCATCTTCTTCTTCTTCTTCTTCTGGTTCTGGAGTGAGCTGGTGTATTGCAAGCCCTAGTGCTTCTCAGATGTCTCTGCAAGTGGCTTTGGACTATGCTTGTGGCTATGGTGGGGCTGATTGCTCTGAGATCCAGCCTAATGGAAGATGCTATAACCCCAGTTCCTTGAGAGATCATGCTTCTTTTGCATTCAATAGTTATTATCAGAAGAATCCTGTTCCTAATAGCTGCAATTTCGGTGGAGTTGCTGTAGTCACCAGCACTAACCCAAGTAAGCAGTTTTTTTTTTATGTTTATATATACACACACAGATGTAATTATTTTGGATTGGATAATGGGCAGAGACAGAACAGAACAAGGAACTTTTGGTGCATCTTTGAATTTTCTTGGAAGTTTATTTGGGTATTTTTAGGACCTACAAAAGCGGCACTTGATTGATATGCATGTAGCAGAAAGTCAAATTTTTTTCCAACTTTTGTTGGTAGCCACAGAGCCACACCTTAGAAAAGTGACCTATTCCTATATTTGTTGTCTATCCATAGGGTTTCTCCTTTTTATTAATTAATTATTTGTTAATGTTTTCTTTTTGTTTTCTTTTCTATTTTTTCCACCAGGTTCTGGCCCTTGTCAATATCCCTCCATCAGGTGAGGTGACATTTCTCTCTTACCCCATCTAAGCTTTCTTTTATTTTCTTGCCACAAACTGAATCAGAAAAACATAACTACATTATTTTTTTCAATGAGGTTCTTAATTATTATTATTATTATTATTTGGGGCATTTTAAAAATGGAGTGTTAAAATTGGAATGCAGCACAAGCACATCAGTGTTGAACACAACAAACTCAATGGGAGCAAATGTGTTTGGGTCAGTTCCAGTGCCTATGACTCCATATCCCTCTGCCGCACCTTCATCATCAATCATTTGCTTCCCACTTGTCTATGTTACTGTATTCTTAATACAATTCTTGTCATCAAACACTTTTTGTCTCTGAAAATGCATCACTAATTACAGTATCAGATTTTGCAATTTTGCTTCTCTCTCAGCAAATCCCCCCCCCAAAACCACACATTTTTTTGGTTTAACTAGCCGTTATAAGTTGACCAAAATCCTTGTAATCCTTGTTATGTCAATTGGCTCATGTGGTTTGGTCAAAAATTGCCTCATGTAGATTCAAGACACATATTAATGTTAGGCTTATAATTATTACGAATCATACAACCATGCTAAGGATATAATTCAAATAGTATTTTGGATTAAAATATCATTTCACCCAAATCAGACATAATTCCATAAACAAGTTTTACTAGGAATACGGGTCAAACTATGGACCGCAAATTAGAAAAACAAAGGCCTGCCTCCAAACAGGCTAGCATTTCATCGCCCAAGTATCAGCTCTGTGTCCACTTTAATTTTTGTATCTATTATGTTTGGATTGGTATTTCTTTTTCAAGTGATTTAATGGCTTGTTTTAACATAATTTTACATCGTATTAGTTCTGATCCTTAATATAAGGACTAATTAACTAATTTGAATAGATTAAAAAAATAGTTAAATTAATTATTTGTAATAAATGTGTTGTCTTTCCTAAAATATTCTTGCTAATCTAAGTGTATTAGTTAGAACTATCATTATTACAAAGATTATCTTAAAATAAATAAATAAATATGAGAGACAAAGTAAATTGGGGTTTTATATTTAAGACCAAAATAAAAGATAAATGAATTTTTATATTAAGGATCAGAGGTAGTACAACATAACTATGTTAAAGAAATTTATCTCATCAACAATAAATGAGTTTGATTTTGGGTTTTTCAGAGACCCTTAGGCCACATAAACATAACATCTCAATTCAATTCCTAACCAGAACGACCCATGCCTTCACATGCCTCTATCTGTTTCAGAGGAGACAAGAAGAGGCCATACCTTTCTTCCCTCTCGATCATTATTGTGAAAAATTTGTCTTTTCAAAAGAAGAAGAAGACTACTAAAAAGAAACGAGGAAAAAAATACTTTAAAAAAAAGAAGGAAGCCAATGACAAGAGGCTTTTGCATTCATTTTTAACAGAGAGAATAATAAATGAGATCCAAACTCCTCATCAGTTATTAACTATGGATCCAGATAGTCTATACTTAATAAGTGAAATGCATCATGTGAACCACACACAGACACACACACACATATGCGCTGATTTGCACATGCATGCTTTATTATACATTATATTTTATTGGAATTTTATAGCAGCAATATATATAAAAAAATTAAATAATTCACGATATCATTATCATTTGTCCCCACCACCACGAAAGCCCCATAATTATTTGTACGTTCATATAATTTCTGTTGTTGATCAGTTTTTATCAAACCCTTCACATCTCTCTTTTTCCTTACCTTGCCGGTGGTTTCCATCATATATGGAGGGCCAATATTCCCTCCTCCAGCCGTTCCTACCGTCTTCGGCTGCCGCAGCTGCCGTCTCTGCCACCTCTTCACCGTCGTTTCATCACAAAGATTCGATCTTCTCAAGCGACAAAACCGTGATCATCAGATTGGTTTTCGTTTTCTCGGTTGCAGCTATCGCATTATGGGCTAACTATGAAGCCTCCAAAACCTTCCGCATAACCCTCTTAAACGACGCCATGGATTCCCCGGCCGGCCGCCGTTTTGATCTCTTTTACGTCTCAAACGACGGAGCCACCCGAATACTCCTCAACACCAGCTCCTTCGTGGAACGCTTCCTTTATCCTGATCCACATCGGTACTCCAAGAAGCACGTATCCCACGTCACCCTCCGCCTTGCTAGCCGGAATCTTACTGGTGCCACCATCGTCTCCGCCGGAAGAAAAGTCAACGATTACGTGATTGACCTGAGCCCCTCGTTGCTTGAAGAAGAGAACTATAAAGAAGCAATAGTTTCATCTGTTTTACGTGCAATGGTTCGAGTATGGCTATGGGATGCCAAGTCTGGTGCTCCCGTGAGGCTCATTGACGGAATGGTGGAGTACGTTACAGAGTTAGCCGGATTTTCTGGAGAGGAATACTCCGTCGCGGGTGAGGGGTCGCCGGAATGCGGCTACGAAGATGACCGTTGGTGGGAGGATAAGGACCCAAGGCATGTGGCCAGGTTCTTGCACCTTTGTGAAGCGCGAAAGGAAGGGTTCATCCGACGGCTGAATCAAGGCATGAGGAACACGTGGCACGATCGGATTGTAGATAATGCGTTGGGGATCCCGGGACGAAAGTTGTGCGGCCTTCGTAATACTTCTTGGGCCCCACAGAATAATACAGTGCTGGTCGGCGGATTGTGATCGTCTGCGGCCAGAGACTTGTAATCCTTTTTTTTATTTTATTTGTTTTTGGTCACAAGGCCAGAGGCTATGTATTTAAAATTCCTTGATTGGCTCCAGGACCAAAGTTTCCGTGTTGATTATCTGGTAAGCTTTGTTTGGCTTGTTCACATGGAATTCCAAGAGGTCGCATGTTCAACTGGAGACTAAACCAATCTAATCACATGCTGTTATGCATCTTGATTTTTATAATTTATATGCAATTGTCTTAGGTGCTCCAATAAATTAAGAGAAAATTTCTATAAGATTCGACTGTACGTGCTAAAAAATTTCATAACAACCGTATAACTTGTAATGACAAGTTTCAATAGACAAGAAGTCAACTCATAATCTTTAAGTTCGTAAAGTCAAATCTCGATGCTAATATAAGGATATTATGATAGACAATTTAAAAATAACTCTGTAAGTTTTTTTTTTTTAGTCATAGGAAATGTTTAGGAAGTTATAAAAGTAATCCTCCGGTCCTTAATATAAGACTCAATGGTTGAGTTGGTTTTTATCCTAAATATATGACCCATTTCTTATATTTATCAATTTTCTCTAAATTATCTCTATGGATACTCCCTTAACCATAATCAAGTAGAAGAGAGAAAGGGTATTAATAAAGATGATTATGGTATTTTAGAAAAAATATATTACTTTTCTTATAATTAACTAACTTACTTAACTTCCTTAATCTAATCAAATTAGTTAAATTGATCTTATATTAAGAGTCGGAGTAGTATTTTCAAAAACATTTTTTCACAAATCAAAATAAAATCACTTTTAAAACCATACTTTCATTTCCATTTAAACACTTTTTTAGAGACATGTCGTAAATCCTGATGGGCCCTTGGTCTATATCACCCAGCATGAGAATCAAAGAGGAACCAAAGGATGTATGTGGTCACTTTTAAAAGGGGAGAATTCTGATTCGGTTATATACCAAACAAGACAAAAGTACCCCTCCTCAATTAGGGTTTCGACCATACATATCTGTATTCGCCTCACACGCAGGTAAGCGTCCGATCGTATGGATAATAATTTTGATATTCAACAAAAATATATAAAAAAAAATTCATACATACATGTGTTGTTTTAGTTGTATGAATAGTAATTTTGCTGTTAATTTATCTTTGGAGTAAGTTTCCTATGAGGAAAGAGGATTCCTTCAAATATTTTATGAAGAAGGGACAGAATTTTTTTTTTGTTTTAAAAAATTGACAACTTTCCTCATTTTTGTACTAATTGTTTAACATTCAAAAAGACCTTATATGAGTTGATGCTTCATCTCCTATCCTAATTTTTGGTTGGCTAGATAAGAATAGAAGTTGTTGGGACCACATGAAAGTTGTTAGATTTGATTGTTTTAAAGAAGTAGGGCCTAGTTTTATTTTTGTTGGCTAGTCACTTATAATTTTTAATTTTTTTAATCTAAATAAAATACTTCTCCAAATCTAAATCCAAAATGTAAGAGTTAAATACTTAATACTATTTCTCTTTGATCATTTTTATTGAAAATATTTCCATCAATAGAACAAAAAACTTCTTATTTAAGGATGCTAAGTTGATTGACAAATTAAGGTGTATTTTTTTCTATTTTAAAGTTCAAATACAAATTAAACTTGGCAATAATGTAAAATCTACATAGTTCACCACAACCCACTTATTATCAAGCTTTTTTCTTCATATCATTATAATAGTCTAATTAATATGAGTTTACTCATTTAGAATTAAACTTTCAATATCATTTAGAATTGAACATAAACTTCCAATATGAATTTAATGAAAATATAAAATTCAGTAAGTCTGGATTAAGAAATCATGTAAAGCCTTAAAAACAAGTAGTATAGAAGAACACACTTGCTGACCAAAACAAGCAGAACATCCATTAAAGATAGCCCAGAAACACAAATTTCTCTCTAACTATCATATCACCCAAAAGTATCATGATCATCACATTTAAAATTAAAAAATAACCAAAAAAAAAAAAGAGCAAACTTTATTTCTCATCACTCTTTGCTCATGTTTTGTTGAACAATCCCTTCATTCCCTGCAAGCATCAAATACTTATCCTTCCTTGTAAGATTAGTACACTCAAATCCCAAAGCATCTGCCAACCTTCTCTGTATATAATTAGCCACCTCAAAGCTGGATCTTCCACCACTACATGTGAGATTTCTGGGCACTTTCTCAAGAATTTCAATGAAATATTTCGGCCTAGGATTCATCAAAAAGAAAATTGGATCCAAACATTTAAGCCCACTAGCTGTGGTCCCATAGAACATGCTCACTTTCGCATTAATGGCCACAGGAACAATCTCATCAGCCAATTCAGCAAACAACGAGCTAAATCTCAACAGATATGGCTCTCTGCAAGTTGTTCCTTCAGGGCAAACCACCAAATCACCTTCTTTTAGAAGAATTTCCATGGCTTCCCCATCTTTCTTTCTGTCCCTTGTGAGTCTCACCGTCCTTATTGGAGCTATAATCTCAGAGGCTCTGCTTAAGCTGTATGTGACTGCTGTTAATGGCTTACGCAAACATGTGCTGAGAAATACAGGATCTAAGAGGGTCCTGTGGGTACACACATATAGGACCCCTTTGGATTTGTGGGACTTTTTGGAGTTATAATGAGCCTTGAAATTGATGTGAACACCACTGAAACTGCCAAGAACTAGGGCTAATTTGTAGGGTAGAATGATTCCTAGAAGGATCCTGTAAATGGCTAAGATTATTCCAATGGGAAGCCACATGAACATGAAGAGTGTTGCTGATGGGGTTGGTAGAAATGCAAGCCTACCATCATGGAAAATCAATGGCTTTGGATATTTTTCTCTTGGCATCACCGAACCTTCATTTTTTTTCACCACATAAGCTTCCTGTCAGGTAAATTAAACACATTAAATACAGTACATGTGGATGGATGAAACATTATTGTAGTGCCTGCAAAATTTAACTCGTCAGATAGGTGGATACATTATTTACCAAGTGTAGGAAAGGATTGATCTCAGGACTCAGGTTTTATAATTGTGATTGGTTTGTGTATTTGTTTTTGTCTGAATGATCTTAACTTCTTTTTCTTCCTCTTTTACTCACTTGTGGCCACCATGGTTCCCAGGTTGTCAGTTGGTGGAGCAAGGAAAAAGAAAAATGTAAAACATAAAAGACAATGGTAAAAGAGTGCCACATTTAAAGCCTTCGTCTCCTAGATGATCTTCCATTGTCATTTTCATGTTTTTGTCTACAGAGTACTATCATTTGGTAGCTCAAAGAAGAAGAAGAAATAAACTGTTCATACTCTAGCCTATCAAAGAGTCTTTAATTTCTTACCTTGCAATGAGAGATGAAGAGATGATCATGAACACTGTGACTACTTCCAAGTCCAATGTCAGGCTTTCTGTCTCCAAAGTACTGCTTAAGAGCTCCATGCTTCACAACCAAACCAGACTCAGAAACCAAACCCGTAAAGTAACCTCCAGAACTCTGCAACTCTGTTCCTATAACCTCATCAACACTCAAATACTCCTTCAGAAAACGCTCCACCATGACTCTAGGCACACTGGTAAACACAACCCTAAACCCTACTGAACTCAACACCTCACATGCCTCAAGGCTCAGATTCTCCAGATAAAACTTAGGTAAAACTGCCCTGCAAGTGTTTTCCATGTCCTTTATCCTGAGCCCAAAAAAGGTTATAAAGATAATGACCTTTAGCTTGAGTTCATAGTCTAGAACCAATAATATAGGACATGACAGAAGCAGGAAGAGGGCTCTGAAAATGCTTCCACCTTCAAAGGCAACGAGCATGAAGAAGGGGAAGAAAGAGTGGGACCTCAACAGAACTCTGTGAATGTCACAGGCTAGCGTTTGGGATTTTCTACCCTCCAAACTACATTTGGTAATACTAGGGAAAGACTGAGAACAATGTGATGGCTTAACTGACACAATACTGCTTATGTGAAAGCCATAAGTTCTCATCTTTCTTGCAGCTCTATGACATGAGGTAGCTAGAAGCCTGAGAAGAACCATTAACAGCACCATGGTGACTACTTGAGCTTCTCCTCTCAGTAATGATGACGGTGGTGAAAGTGCTAGAAAGGCTGTGTTAAGGACAGAAAGAGAGAGGGAGAGAGGGAGAGAGAGAGAGTAAATGAGTATTTGGGGAGAAGAGGAAGAGATTGCGGAGAATATTTATAAGAGTCATTAAAAAGGTGCAGGAAGAAAAAGAGATGGTTGACTGCAGCATTTGGTTAACCACACAGGGGGCATTAACTTCACCTTTAACATTTTCTTCCGTTTGATTTTTCCTTTCAGTTTCTTGTTTAGCACTTCTGCTTTTGTGTCTCTGTAATTTTCTTTCAGTCATGCAAGTTAACTCACATTTCAACCCTTTAAAGTTCTGTTCCTTCCTGCCTCTCCTCTTATTTTTCCATTCACTCATGCAAGTCTCCTCCACATTTTGGCACTATATCTTTACTCTTAGCTCTTCAAGCAGGATTGGCGTGTGATGTACCATCCGAATTTTATGACACTGTCAGAGTAATTTTATGAAGTGCTTCAGCTCTCATCTCTCAAGAAACTGAATGGTACTTTCTTTGAGGTTTTCCAAGAAAATCTAATGAACAAAATTCCCTCCAATGGACCAAAAAAATTTAATAAACATCATGGAAATCTAGAAGGAATGACTTTGATCATAAGAAAATAAATATAATTTTGGAAAAATGGGTAACATTCTGGGGAAAAAGATTCAAATGTTTGTTAGTTTTAATGAAAATCACTGTTTGGTTGACCGTTGACATATAACGGTTGGTAGGTTGATATGTTGGTGACCGTCACTGAGAATCTGGGTTCATTTTTTGAAAACCGGTTTCAATCCTCCACACGCACAGTGTAGTTATTTGGTTTTTCATTGCCTTGGAAAGTGTGATCTTTTGAAACTATTCATCATTCATCTTCTCAACAATTTTCGCCAGAATATATATATGAACCAATCACAAGTTAGATCACCCACACAAACGATTCACTGACTTTTAAATCCTTTTATCAGATTTGTCACAAGTCAAATTGCTTTCTTGTTGTGATTAATTGGTGTTTGTTCCCAAGGATATTGACCAAACCAGTTTCAGATTCGTGTTCCCGTATATTGCTCTAGTCTTATTTTATTATTAGCTTTAATTTATTTTAAGTAGTAATATAATTATTTACAGGAAATTTAACATAAAATATTTATTAGTATAATTACTGAGTTTTGTGAGTACTGACAATTGATGCACTTTGGCATCAGTTGATGTGGAATAATTACAGGTGATTTATATGGAATAATTAGTTGCAGCCTTTGATGAAACCAAAAAAAAAAAATCTCGAACTTGGGTATGTAAACCAGAATTTGGATTAAATTGGAAAAAAATTAATAGTAATTCAAATGACTAATTGTTGCTAGTTAATTATAAGGGGTGCAAGTAGGTAATCCATAAAGGCAAACTTCTTTCCGTGATGGGGGGATGGATATAGGAAAAATGGAACATTTGAATTTTGAGCCATGCCAGGTAATTTTTTCTTTTTATAATAATTAATGAATCGGATTCTTCGGATTTAAAAAGTAACTTGATGATGATGGATAGTTAGATATATTAAAAAAATTGAGTAAAACCAAGTACTTGTTTGGTATACAATAATTTCTATGTTATTTTTGGAAATGAAAAGATAAAAGGACAATAACAAAAAAAAGAAGCTGAAATTTTGTAGATGCTAAATAAAGAATATAATGTCAATAAAAATTTGTTGTCATTTATAAATTTAGACTTGTCAATATCAAATAAAGTTGTGTTACCAAATCTGATTTGGAATTTGTAATTTCCAATTTTTTTTCTGTCATTCTCTCAAAAATACAGCACAAAATTCTCTTGATTGGTTCTCCCCCTTGTCCTTTTTATAAGATTAGGATATATGGAGGAGAAATTTTTAGTTCTTTAATTTTTACATATTTGTGACATCATTCTCACGTTACATTTATTTTATATTTCTTTATTTTTCATAAGTTACTCGCATCATATGAGTTGGATAAAATTGAAAGCTTATTTTATTTTTAATTATTGTTGATGTGTGTTAAGCTCGTCTTTGATTCTAGTGACACTGAAATGGAAGGAAATACCCGTTTGTTTATGGATGTATGTAATTTTGGGTAACTATTTTATCCTCTGCAATTTTTTGTAATGACTAAAATGTCATTACACCATAAATTGTAAATGTTGCCATTTATTTTGAATTGTATACAGATTTATATGTGCTGGATTATAGTTGATATATTAACATGAAATTTACCCGAATTCTCCTTATTAATCAAAAGATATATGTCGAAGGCCAAAGTTTCACACATAGCTAATGGCTAGTTAAGTTAGTCAAATAACAATGGCATGACTACGCATGTTATAAAGTGTGTGATCTACAAAATCATGAGACAAGTTTTGGGAGGCGGTGGTAGGTTGCGTTAGTGAGGTGGTTAGGAGAAGATTTCATGTCATTCTCATTTAGTGATTTGGTGAACACTTATTAATCATCATTTGATATGTCTGTTCCTTTAATTTTGCACGCAATTATTCAACATCCTTCACATATCTTTCACCTCCCTCATTTTGCATGAAATCTATGATTCTGTTTGGTACGAAGCATTAAAAATGAGGGATAAAGATTGAAATTAGGATTAAAAAAAATATACTAAAAGAGTATTTAGCATAAAAAAAATTACTTGTCACGTGGGATTAGATAAATCTATGTATGTGGAATTGGAAAATATCATGAGGGAAAGTGATATTTTCCCATCCTACTTTCATGAGTTTGCCTAATCCTATATAATAAACAATTACACATGCTAAACATTTTTTTAATGATTTGTCTCAATTATAATCCCAGTCTTTATTCTTTATTTTCAATACTTCGTACCAAATAGGATCTTTGGGTACATTGAATCCAATTGACGGTTTCATGAAATCCATATTTGTAAATTAGGAGAAAATAATTAAGGATCTTACTTATTATACTTTTTCATATTATTTAAATTAAAATGCTTTTATCTCTTTTATATTTGAGTAAATTAAAGTCATCAACCTTTTTATGTTATTTCACAGTTACATTCAGCAGTCCCATGTTGTTCAGTATGATGATCTTATTTATAATATATCTAGTACAATAAAATTGAGCTACTAGATGTAAGTAGACAACAATATCAAAAGATGCTGGATGAACTAAAGAAATAATATTTGAGTGTTGGATGCATCATAAATAAGATCGGGATACTAGATACCTTAATTTAAATTTAGATGCTACTAAATTATCCTTCCTGTTTTACTTCAATTACATATATTTTTCATCTGCTCTAAGAACATGTACATTAGTTCACCGCGGAGAAATTCCTAAAATATTTTGAAAATAATATTTATTAATTAAAAATACAGATAAAGTAAAACCTTGAAGGAGCCACGTGCCTTGGTTGAGAGCCACCGACTTGCCAATCCCATCTTTGAGATGAAGAACATGAAAATTATGCTCCTGTGTAAGATAGGTGGGCGCCAATGGAATAATACTTTTTGGCTTGTTTGTTTAGTAAAAATTGGGTATAACATTTAATATAAAGAGTCAGATGAATTATAATAAATTATTTTTAAATTATGATATATCGTTTGGGTACGATACCACACCAAATGTTACCTAAAATTAAATCCTAATCCGAAATATGAAAATATTTTGTCATTAAATCACATAAAGAAAGGGATCAGAAAAAAATTAAACAACGAATAATGATGGATGAAAGCAAATTATCCCATTCGTGAATACAAGAGAGCATGCAAAACCACTTGTTCAAACTTAACAATGAGAGAAAACCACCCATATATGCACTGCGTCTGGATACATCTTGCACTTTTTTAATTTGCTAAAGCTGACAACATTAATATTATTTTCTTGGTCGGTAAAAAAAGCTCTCCATTGTTCCTAATTAAAGCCAATGCACTTGATATGCCTCCATGTCTTGAATCAAAAGAAAATAATACATTCCAATGAATCTACAACTCCACACACGAACACATATTCTTTCATCACCCATATGTATAATAATACTATCTCCAATCCTTAATATAAAATCTAGATAACTAATTAAGAATATTAAAAATAGTTAAATTGATTATTTGTAACAAATATGTATTCACTTTTCTAAATTATCCTCGTTAATCAGGTGCATTAAAACTAGCTCTTAGTAGGAATCCCTTACAATTAATAGAATATTTTGGAAAGAAAATTTATAAATTTGAAAAATAAATTAAATTATATTGAGGTTTTATGTTTAAGACCAAGTGTTTGGATATTTCTTCAAACCATGGTTTTGAGAGAAAATTATCCAAACACCACATTTTTTCTCAAAATCACTTTTAAATTTGAAACCATGGTTTGAATAAGAGCAACCAAACACCTTAATTTTTTGTAAAATCACTTTTACATTGAAAACCATGGTTTTTTTGGGTATAAAACCATGGTTTTCCATGAAGTGAATTTTTTTTTTGCTTTTGAAGGTATAAAACCATGGTTTTGGGTATAAAAATATATACACATCAATTACTATCTTCGGTCTTTAATATAAGAGCTAGACAACTAATTTGTCAATATTAAGAAAATTAGTTAAATTATTTATTTATAATAAATATATGTTGTATTCTCTCAAATACTTGTTAATGATATTGGGACTACCATTTGATAGAACCTTTAACATGTACAAATTAACATGAGGCTTACTTTAAAAAATGGATAAATGTGTTAGACAAAGCATATTAGTATCTTATATTCAAAATCAAATTAAATATCCAATTAGCTCTCATACTAAGGACTGGAGGTAATATTACTTAATTATATTTTTTATATATCATTTATTATTTACAAAATTATTATTGCAAAAAAAATATAAACTAAAATATATTTTAATCTAATTATCGTATTAACTTATGTCATTTTTAGTATTTGCACATGAAAAAAAAAAGATTCTGATAACAACCATCCAAACATCTCCTGAAGTACTTGGGTAAGATCAAAACCATGATTTCAGAAGTACTTTTACAGTATACGAAGTAAATATGTGGAAGAGTTTGTCTCGATTTGCGGAAAAGTACCTATTGGGCTTCCCAAACACCCCCTCAAAATTTATTCTT